CCTGGCTGAGCTGGAACAGAATTCAGGGAAAATCCAGAAGGTGAAGGAGGCACTTTCTGATTTGCTGGAGAAGTACCCTGATTCTCCAGAAGCAGGAAGCTGGAAGAAGATGCAGGAGGATCTTAGTAAGTGCCCTAGGGACTTAGCATGGTTTTTAGGTGCCTCTGAACATCCTTTGAGGGTGACCCGAAGTTCCAGGACGATCCCGGAGTCATAGAACAACAGAGTCGCTTCTAATTAAAAATTCAGGAAATTAAAGAGTGTACCTTAAGGCCTTAGGTACACAGAGTGTTTTCAAGACGAGCTGAGTCTCAGTTAATGAAACCTGCATGGGAGAGAGGTGTTTCAGAGAGTTTGCTTTCTTAAATTACCTTAGAAAATGTCCAACTAAATCACTCATTTTTTTTGAGTGAAATCATTTTTTTTAAGGGCAAGTTTCATCGCTGACAGTAAAATCCCATGCTTAGTTGCAATGCTCTAGATAGCTGTTGCCTCACCATGATGGCTTTATCTTAGAAAAGAAACATTTCTGACCAGTTGTTAGGAATGACAAAGTGCTTTCCAAAGTCTGATAAGCATTAGATTATCTTGGTTTAACAGAGGGGGAATCTGAAGGAGAGGAAAGTTTCAATGATTCGTCCAGAGTCTTGGAAATCGGTGATAAGATTGCCGAGAATGCTGGGGTCCTGAGCGCAAGTTCAAATTGGATAATATTTGACGGGGCTGAGGCTGTTATTATATGTTTCACCGAGATTATGCTGGAATATTAGACATTGCTTTAAGATTACACCACAGCTTCCCTCTTAAACGGGGGAGATCTCCAGTGACAAACTAGCAATGAGGAAATGGAAGCTCTTAAATCGAGAGGCGTGTTTCCCCGGAGCAGCAACGTTACCGGCTCCGTTCTGTGTCGTCTTTTCAGGTTCCAGGTGGGACCGAGCCAATCAAGTAACAGCCGAGCGCCAGCAGAAGCTGGAGGAATCGGCAAATCAGCTAGCGAGCTTCCAGGCAGCCGAAGCCCAGCTGCGCCCGTGGCTGATGGAGAAGGAGCTAATGATGAGTGTGCTGGGACCCCTGTCCATTGATCCCAACATGCTGAACGCACAAAAGCAGCAGGTCCAGGTGAGAGAGGCAGCTTCCTTGTGCCTCCTTTGTGTGAGGAGGATGGAGCACTTCCAGGCTCTATAGCAAGTAGTTGCAAGCTGCGTTACCTCATCTGTGGCTGATGAGTTCTTCCATGTATTTTCTATACTATGGGTGCATCTACGTGTGCATTAACGTGCATTGTTAATGCGCATTAAACCTAGTACCTTCGTTGTGAGGAAAACACGTGTTAGCCTGTCTTGATGCACATTAACTAAAGAGCACACGGGGCATTTTTACACATGCAAGCGCCACAGTGCAGTGCACTTTTCAGAGTTGCATTAGTGGCGAAATGTCCGCTGTTGTATAAGTGATGCTTGCAGTTGTACAAGTGGCAAAATGCGCGTCAGCACTGAGAAAATAGCAGCAGCGTGCTTTCGAGCTGGAACGCATAGAAGGGGCTTTAGTTCAAAAGTGCGCCGCTGCCATGTCCTGCACGCTGATGTGCGTTTTGCTGCTTGTACAGCTGCACACGATGCAGCGCAGTGCGTGTCAGCTCGCGTGCAGGGCAGACTCGATTAATCGAGTCTGCTCTGAAGTGGCGGATCTCCGGCACGTCGCAGGACCAGAAAGTATGTGTATAAATGCCCACAGGTTTTAAGTGATGCTTAATGCACATTAGTCTATTTTAACGCACGGTTTTTAGTGCCACTTTCATGCACTTTAAAATAGGCTAGTGCGCATTAAAACACGTGTGTAAATGGGCCCTATGTTTATGCGCGTGCATTTGCATGTGCATAGCATGCAGACACCTTCTGCTACAGAGCCTGCTGAGTTAGTATGTTAAACCTTGTTCTTGTATTAAAAGTGCCCTGCCATGTATCCCCTTGTACAGTGAGTACTGGAGAGCAGGGGGCTAATTGAGAGGGTCTGACTCCACCATCTCTTCTCAAAGGCCTTGAAACATGTTGGGTGCAGACCACACCACACAGCAGCGAAGTGGGTGCAGTTCTTGATCTCATTTCTCTGCACAGGGAGGCTTGACTCAGCACTGATTCATTTGTCCTCTATTAAAAGCAATTCCACTCTCTAAAAAGATCACCGTTGATGTAATGCAGGGCCTGTTCATACTGCCCTTTTGGCAGAGAAACCTGCCTGTCAGCCTCCTCTCTGCCTACTTACCTGTAATTACAAATTAGGTTGCTAATATGCCCATAACTGGCCAAACCACAAAATATCCCCGTTAACATAATTGGATCTCCTTGTCCAGCCGGCTAATGTTACGTTGGACAGTAGTGGGATGAATATGGGAAGGAAGCGGATACTTTATACAGACATTCATGGATCCTTCCAATTTTTTAAAGCTGAAACACTATTATAAATTGAGGTCTTTGTTGCCCTCCTATCCCAGGAGTTTCCTGGTTCGTTTCCAGTGTTTCTTTGGATTGTTTCAAAGCCCCAGAGGCCTGTGCTGTTTTGATTGTGTGTATTTGGACCTGTCACATTTATACAAACATTTTCACGTTATTTCTGTTCCAGTTTATGCTGAAGGAATTTGAAGCTCGCAGACAGCAGCATGAGCAGCTGAATCAGGCAGCCCAGGGAATACTAACCGGCCCTGGAGACCTTTCTCCATCTGCAAGCCAGGTGCGGGAGGAGCTCCAAGGGGTCAATCGGAAATGGTCTGAGCTAACTGACCAACTCAACTCCCGTTCCAGCCAAATTGACCAAGCCATAGTCAAGAGCACCCAGTACCAAGAGCTGTTGCAGGGCTTGTCAGAAAAGGTAAAGGCAGTTGGGCAGCGACTGAGTAGCCAGTCTGCCATCAGCACCCAGCCAGACGCAGTGAAGCAGCAACTGGAGGAGACGAGCGAGATCCGGTCCGACCTGGAGCAGTTGGAAGAGGAGATTGCAGAAGCGCAGACCCTCTGTGATGAGCTGTCAGTCCTGATCGGGGAGCAGTACCTCAAGGATGAGCTGAGGAAGCGTCTGGAGACGGTGGCCCTTCCTCTCAAAGGGCTCGAAGACCTGGCAGGTGAGACGTCATGAGGCAGTCCCTTGTAGCAGCTGAAGCAGCGGCATTCAGCTTCTTTCCCCGCTCTTTTACAAAAGGCTGCTCTGTCCGTGCTTAGGGATCATGAGGAAGGCTCTTTTGTGATGGTTTTAAGTTGGAAAGGAGGGCTGGAGAAGGCCAAAGTGAAGTGGTCTGTGTAGTGCCACAAAGGAGGTATGGTTTTAATTCCCAGACCATACCGCCAAGCCCTGGGAGTGAAAACAGAGAGGATAGGCCTCACGCGTGGAGGGTTGACTGGGTCTGAAAAGACCCCAGTCCCAATCTCCTGTGTGAGAAATGGGAAAGACGCACCGGGCATCCTTAAACTCAGAGCACTTTCTTCCACCCGCAGATGGGTCACAAAGATCTCGTAACCCCCCTCAAAAAAGAGCTTAACCATTCTAGTCAAGACGTTCATGACCTCATGAGCAAAAGGCCAGTGATGCAATGGAAAGAGCTCGTTCCCATTAATCAAAACACAACTTTCATGTTCAGGAGGTTTTAAAATGGTTTTGCTTTGCTTATTTGATTCCAGCTTCATTGTGGCATTGTAATCTTATTTCTGTTTCAGCCGACCGGATGAATCGACTGCAGACTGCGCTCGCGAGCTCCCAGCAGTTCCAGCACATGTTTGATGAGCTCAGGACCTGGCTGGATGACAAATTGTGCCAGCAAGCACAGAGCCGGCCTATTTCTGCTAAGCTGGAGAAGCTTCAGGGTCAAATCCAGGAGCAGGAAGAGTTCCAGAAGAGCCTCAATCAGCACAGTGGCTCCTACGAGATGATTGTGGCTGAGGGAGAGTCTTTGCTTCTCTCTGTCCAGCCTGGGGAAGAAAAGACTTCCTTGCAAAACCAGCTGGTTGGCCTCAAAACGCACTGGGACGAGCTCAGCAAACAGGTTGCCGATAGACACTCCAGCCTCAAAGACTGTTTGCAAAAGGCTCAGAAGTACCAGCGGCACACGGAAGACCTCCTGCCCTGGGTGGAGGACTGCAAAGCCAAGATGGCAGAGCTGGAAGTAACGCTGGACCCCGTGCAGCTGGAGGCAACCCTGCTGAGATCCAAGGCGCTGCTCGGCGATGTGGAGAAACGCCGCTCGCTGCTGGAGATGCTTAACAGCGCTGCTGATATCTTGATAGACGCCTCTCAGACTGATGAGGACGACATCCGGGATGAGAAAGCAGGGATCAACCAGAAGATGGACGTCATCACGGAGGAGCTGCAAGCCAAGACCGGGTCCATTGAAGAAATGTCACAGAGGCTGAAGGAGTTCCAAGAAAGTTTCAAGAACATCGAGAAGAAGCTGGAAGGGGCCAAGCACCAGATGGAGATCTACGATGCTCTGGGCCCACAAGCTTGCAGCAACAAGAACTTGGAGAAGCTCAGGGCGCAGCAGGAAGTGCTCCAGGCCCTGGAGCCACAAGTGGACTATCTGAGGAACTTCACTCGGGGCCTGGTGGAAGACGCGCCAGATGGATCCGACTGCTCCCAGCTCTTACTCCAAGCCGAAGTGGCCCAGCAGGACTTCAAAACCGTGAAGCAGAAAGTCAGCGAATGCTGTACGCTCATGGAGAACAAGCTTGAGGGAATAGGCCAGTTTAACAACCACGTCCGGGAGATGTTCTCTCAACTGGCAGATCTCGACGATGAGCTCGATGGCATGGGTGCCATCGGGAGAGATATCGACAGCCTCCAGTCTCAAGCCGAGGATGTTCGCGCTTTCGTGGGCAAGCTCCGGGGGCTGAAGTCGGACATTGAAGCCTCTGAAGGAGAATGCAAGAAAATGCTAGAGGAAGAAGGGAGCCCCGATTTATTAGGACTGAAACGAGAACTGGAGACTCTGAACAAGCAGTGCAGCAAACTGACAGAAAGAGGCAAAAATCGGCAAGAGCAGGTTGAGACGACGCTGGCTCGTGTCGAGGACTTCTATAACCGGTTGAGAGAGCTGAACCACATGACGGAGGCAGCGGAGGAGAACGAGGCACTGCAGTGGGTCGTGGGAACGGAGGTGGAAACCATCAACCAGCAGTTGGGTGACTTCAAGGTAAGCGCTCATGATGCATGTTTTCTCGTTAGCAGCTCGTTGGCTGCGCTGCGTGCTCTTTGGCGCTCCCGCAGCAGAACCTGCACTCCCCGAGCTAGCATCACTCTGCGGTTTGATATTAAAAACCCACCTCTGTGCTTGGCTTTGTACAATGCGTGGGCCCCGCCGGGAAGCATGTCAAGTCTTAAAAGGAAATGGCTCCTCTGTGGTCTGTCGTGAGAAGTTTGCTCCTTGTGCTGTGCGTGGTATTAGGACAGTGTCCTCTCTTGGCTTTTTAGATCTCGTATGCACTTTTTGGCGAGGAAGAGCGCTTTGCTTCCTTGACATTATTTGAATCATCTGTTCTGTATCTTCCGAGATGCTCAGTACAGATCCGTCGGTGTCTCTTGAAGTGGATGTCGGTACAACCCCAGAATCCCAGCTGTCCTTCAGGAGCTCTGGGCTGCACGGCACTGCTCCAGATGTTGGCCTTCAGTTGAAATGGCAGACAGACAGTGCTAAGCTATGGGTGGGTGGGATATGTCTGTGCTTTTGTCTCACCAGTTTTTCCAAAAGGGCCTTTACATTGCCAGTAGAGAAACACTGGAGCACCTCAGGCTTTCAGTGCGGACCTTTTAAACGAGCCTAAAGAGAGAAAGTTGTTTAGGGAGTTGGACTTGATGCGGCATTATGATGTCAGGTTGTACTGTCACACTACATTAATTAACTTAATGCCGCTTAAGAGATTCTCTTGCTGTGAAGCCTCCATCGCTGATGCGCTCCACGGCTGGTGATTGGTCTGATTTACATCTTGCTGCTCAGTGACTAGCAACGATAGGGGGAATGTTTTAACAGCCATTTACTTTTCATCACACGGTTAATTGATCCCGTTCGGACGGATAATGTCTCTGTTACGCCATCACACCAACGCGAGTCGCAGACCTTTTTTTTGGCCTTGTTTGGGAATTAAAGGTTTTTCTTGGCACAACCAAAGGTGCGGATTTCAACCAGTCTAGTTGCACTGCTTGAACCTGTTTGTGGCCAGTCCTGTTTCAAGATCAGAGTGGCTTGTTGGCTTCTTTGATGTGTCCTGGAAGGGATTTAAATCGGGCTTTGTTGATCCCTCAGTAAGCTTGTTCACAGGCAAAGTAACTACGCCTGGACAAATGGAAAACCCTTGCTGTATAGCGGAGCTCGTTCTCTTGGTTGGGCAGTTTTGAGTAGACATTAGTGTTAAATGGAGCAGGATGTGCTACACTCGCTGGCGTGGAGAGCGAGATGAGCTGGGAGCTATGACGTCAGAAGACATTATTTCTAAACGGTCCAGATCTCGATGGTGAAGCTGTGCCAGTAAAACAGTGGTGACCAGCGTGCAAGAGGCCAAAACCGCTGCCATGCAGGGAGTGCAGAAGCCTCCTTCTCTGCAATCATTGTTAGTCTCAGGGGCCTTGAGGCACAGCTGGTTTGGGGGTCTTTGCTTGCGGGAAGTTTACTGAAAAATTGAAGTAGCAGAAACCTTAGTTTTCTGCTATGTGAAAATTAAGAGAAGAAAACCAAGGGGAAAATGAAAGCTGACAGCGTATTGATAGTTAGACCGAGAACCTCTTCCTGAACGAGCCAACATGACTAGCACCAGCGATGAAGGCTGCACAGCAGATGCTTTTTAAAGCCTAATGTAATGGTTAGCTTCTGCAGGCAAAAGGATGTCCCACATGTCAACCCGGACGCGAGAGGTGACAGTCTTTTCCTATATTGTTTAAATGTGCATTGGGATGAGTGAGTAAGTAATGAAACAGCCTGCCTTGGGAATTGTGGGGAGAGGATGAAATCACGGAGAGCAAACCTTTAGAAAAATGTGTCTTTAAACTGTCCGTTCCAGGGAGCAGGGTCAGAGTCCTTCCTCCCCCATAGACTTGGCAAAGGGGTTGGGAGAGTTCAGGCGAGAGCACGAGGCCTGATCTACGCTCCGATCCCCACAAGCCAGATGATCCTGGACGCGTGCCCCATGGCTGGTCTGGAAAGCAGCAGGCAACGGAGCTAAAGTCATAAACGTTGCCTCTCCCGGGCGCGGGACTCGAGTAGCCCAACGGGAAACTTCCCGAGCACAAGCCCGAGTTTCGCAAGTTCATGGCTTGCCGATGAAGTTGTAATCTGGAGGCAGGCTTTGCAGTGGGGGAGGGTGAGCCGTCCGTCCAGCTCTCGCTGAGCTCATGGGAAGTCCGAACAATGGGAGGAAGGAATCTGAGTGTGTCGGCCACATTAACACCCCAGAGGGTCCGCGAAGGGAAATCTCTCCAGGCCCTGTTTTCCAGGCCGAGTAACAATGTTTTGGTTCATTTCCGTGGTTCGAGAGTTTAGTTCCCGAGCTGAGATGCATTCGTGCACAGCAGATTGATCTTTCCTCAGCCCCAAAGCTTTGCTGCGGGGTCGTGCATCATTACATTTCCCTTCAGGTTCAAAAAATTGAACAGTAATGAGGTTTGGTCTCACTGCAGGTAGGAAGCGTCTAAGATCACACCGCTGCTGCCCTTGACTTGCTTGGGGAGAAGCCAGGGAAGGAGAGTCCTTTCGGGAAAGGACGAGGGGTTTTTCATTTTGGTGTTGACATCTGCTGTCAACTGATGGCCTCAAAACGATGCCTCATCTCCGCATCGGAGGTGACGCAGGTGAAACTCTGTGTGGGGCCAGCCTTTAGAGACATGCGGCAATGCCCCAGCTCTGTTTTCTTGGAACTGCATATGAATGCAGAGCTAATCTTTCACAGGGTTTGATGGCTGGGGAACTGGAGATGCAATTCCTGTGCATCTGTCCAGAAGAGAAAAATACACGCAGTGTCTTAGTGTTGTGCAAGGGTGCTCAGCCTCTAGCCCGTGGGCCAGATCCGGCCGGTGGAGCTGTGCCCATGCCCAGATGTGGCTGGTGGCACCACTCTTCTGCTGCCAAATCTCTGGACCCATGAGGAGCCCTGAGCCCCATGCACTGGATCTGGTGCCCAATCCCAGGAGGCAGGAGGGGGCAGTGCCAGGGCCCATTCTGGCCCCTAGCTGAGCCCTGTGCCACTCATTTGGCCCACAGGGCCAAAAGGTTGAGCACCACTGGTGTAGTGTTTGTATAAACACATTGGTAAAAGGGGTGCAGAATAGGTGCATCCCTGGAGCACCCATCCGGACTGCTAATGCAGCCTTTTAGGGTGGGCCCTGCTAGCCCCAGTGTATGCAGAGCTGGAGTAATCCTGGTCAAGGAGAGTTATTGAAACCTGTGGCCTCCAGGCACCAAGCAGGGTGATTCACAAGTAGATTTATTCTTGAGACTTTCCAGAGTATGTTCTTCCAGCAAACGCTCACCGTGTTTGCTCCATCCGAGAGCACACTGCAAACAAAAGCTGGGCGCACCGGGGTGCTGCTTCCTAACACTTATGCACCTTGTCCATTTGAAACCCTCCCTTGCCCGTGTCACCACGAGGTTTGAGGGAGGTGAATGGGAGAGCAGGTTTTTCTGAGTTAATTTATCCAGCTGAAAAGCTGGGGTGCACTCCCCAAAACTCGCCCAAAGGAAGCCTTCTTTACCATCGCAGTGTCTCGTTAGGAGGAACCGAGGGAGTTTTTGCAATGAAGGTCTGATGTCACCAGAGTTGCTTTTTGCAAGGGACTTGCTGTTTTTCTGCAGTGATCCGAGAAGGAATAGCATTTTGGGATAGAAAGGAGCAGGCTTTCCTGCTTTACAGAAGAAGGTAGCAGGTTACTTAAAGCATTGTGTCTTTAGGGGGATGCCGAAGTATGGGGTGCACCCCCTTGGTGGGGGGCACGACCAAAGGCCACGGCAGTTGGCAGTGAGGGGAAGCGGTAGTGGCCAGATCGCAAGCAGCTGCTGAAGTAGGGGTGAGAGGGGCTACCTCACTTTTCCCCAAAGTTTGGGAAACACTGGTTTAATGAGTCTCAATCCAGCTGATTAACTTGGGCTAGCCCTAGAGTATGATCACACCGCAAAGAAAGCAGGTTGTCAACTTAGATCAAAATAGTATTGGAAATAAGGGAGCCTGGCTTTCTGCTTGGGTGAGTCCCCGACTGCCTGCTAGGCTGAAATGGAGCCGGCACCCCGAGTAAACCGCCAGGTTGCCTTGTCTTGGCTGCCATTTGAACTTGGGTTGCCATTCCAGTTGAAGACCACCGTTTATTTTTGGAGCGTCTATACCCCACGGATACATCATTATATTCTCTCTAGCGCTTGAGCTCTCTGCAGAGAGCAAATCTGGAGGTGGTGATTCAGTCCTGTCTAACTGGTTCCAGCGCTGTTCGGACCACCCTGGCGCACAGTTGTATTGCAGGAGCACGCCGGGCGCCATTCTGCTGTGGAGAAAGTCAGGCTGAGTCAGTACAGGTAAACACGCCTAAGCCTTTCTGTGAGGTCGAGTTGTTTTATTCCTCCTGTAGAAGATTTTGCAACCTGTAAGTGCTCTTTCTGCACCAGCAGAAACTTTTTGACGTGACTGGCAAGCAACACTGGCCAGTGGTAGTTGCAAGCATGACTTGATTTGGGGCATTTTTTCCTCTACTTTTTCTGCTCTCAGTGTCATTAGACTGGGATTTCCATGCTAATAAGGACTAAACTCAAACGAAGGTTAGATTTCCGCTAAGTGTAGCAGCTTTCCCCTTTAAGCGTGGCAGGCGTGAGCTGGACCAGACTTGCAGACCTGAAATGCTGCAGAAACATCATCCAGTACCTACTTTTTTGTGCCTGTTCAGGTGCCTTGCAGAATAACAGGATCCTGTATTTCAATCTCCCTACTCCCTCCCTCCCTCCCAGCAATAGGAAAGGAGTTGCTATGCTTTGAATAATGTAGCCTGTGGCTGCTTTATCCTAGCCAAAAGGCACCAGTCTCTCCTTGTAAGACTGTAAAAGATGGGTAAACGACTATCATTGCTTAACGATAGTAACACCATCTAAGAGGTCCAGGCACGAGCCAGCATTTTGTTAGGACAGGCAGTGATGAACAAAGATGGTCTCTGCCCCGTGCTGAAGAG